CAGGCCGCGGCTCTCACCAGTGCGTCATCTTATTATGGTAACAGGGACCACAGCCAGCTGGACTGAGGCGGGACCCGGGCCCGTACGCGGGGCCTTCTCCAATCCAGGCTCATTTGGGAAATGATCTTCCTGCAAGCTCACACATGACTCATCGTTACGGCCTCCTATTAAGTCCGTCGGCCACAAGGAATCCCATTCAAAACACCTCCGCCAACAGCTGCGCAGGAGAGCAGGCAACATCTGGGGCCGCTGGGGCCGATCTGTGAGGCAGAGCGCACGGCCGTGCGGCGCATCTCTGCAGAGGACCGCGAAGGCCATGAGTGTTACTAGTATCATGTGCAGCCCAAAGGCCACGCTGGGCCTACCTTTCTTCAACTGAGTCGTCGTTTTTCTCCCTCGGGTAAGACCAGAAACTTAGAAAGATGAGCAAGGATCAAGATAGAAAGCTACTGTGCGCCCAGCACCCCGGGAGGCTCTGAGCGGTGCCCTGTGAGGGCAGAACGGGGGCCGGGCAGGAGCTGGAGGCCGCCCGGTCCGTTCCCCACACCTTCCCGGATCTTCGCAGTCTCAGGTACGAGAGGGGAGGGGCCCTGGCCCCGCTCCCAGGACTGTCCTGAAGGCGGGGTGAAAGAAGGCTATCTCCCCATGCATTCTGGAAACTACAGGGTGCTGCGGAAATGGTCAAGACCGTTCTGATGCCACTCCTGGACTAGGGCCCTGGAAGGCTGGTCTTCTTCGGACTCTGTGCCCCGGTGAAGCGTCACAGCATCGGCCAACAACGTAAGTGTTGCACGTGCGTGCCAGTGAAGGCTGACATTCACGGAGCCACAGAAACGTTGTATTTGTTAACTGGATTCATTTTGACCACAAAGATTGCTAAGGGGGGGATGGGGGAAGAAAAGGAAGAGTAATATTTGAAAGAAGTTTAAAATGGATCAAAACCCAGTGAGCACGGATCTGCAAGGACTTACTATGGCCTCAAGGGATAGCTTCGTACTTTCTAGCTGTTCTGAGAAAAAACAGGACGACGAAAAGTTACTATCCGCGCAGACAGGATAAATTTGGCTTTTCAATTTATAACAAAAGCCTCGCCACACATCTGAAAAACATACACCGGAATGGGAGGCACTATATTTATTCTGTTCTCAGGCAGTGTGCTGGGGAGCAGCTCGGGGTCCCGGGGGGCCTACAGAGCTGCCCGGGGGGCGGGGGGCAGGGCGGTCAGTGAGCAACAGAACTCCAGGAGAGGCTGGGGACACAGAACTAGGAACAGAGACTTAAAAACCACCCCTGCGTTGGGGCGCCTGGGTGGCTTAGTCGGTTAAGCGTCCGACTTTCGCTTAGGTCATGATCTCGCGGTTCGTGGGTTCGAGCCCCGCGTCGGGCTCTGTGCTGACTGCCAGCTCAGAGCCTGGAGCCAATTTCAGAGTCTGTATCTCCCCCCCTCTCTCTGACCCTCCCCTGCTCACGCTGTCTCTCTCTCTCTCCTAGAAATAAATAAAAAAATTTAAAGAAAAAACCACCCCTGCGTAATCTGCATCTTCGTGATGTGTATTCTGATTATCTCCCCAGTTAGGAGGTAAGGCCATGGTGGGGGGGGGGTCCAAAACAAGCCCAGGCCCATCAGGAGATGCTGGACAAACTATATGGTGAAGGAAGACATGCACGAATGAGCAAGAGAGGCTCTGATGAGCAGTCAGGAAAACTGAAGACCCCTTCTTCCCTGTCCCTCCGCTGCGCACCCCCTTCTGCATCTCACCCTGAATCTCACTCCTCACAGAGCCAGCCCCCCAACACCCGCCCCCACCGTAAGTCTGATGTGACCCCTCCTAGCCTCCTTAGTGCTCCCCACACTGCCAGGGCCGCTGCTCCACTGCGATGTCCGCTGGGTTCAACGCTGGCTCCCTGGAGCCTCGTGCAGCTCCAGCGGGAACTCGGTGCCGGACTGGGACTGAGGGGTGAATCGATGAAGGAATGGGGCAGAGTTCAAAGTCCGGATGAAACGCTCACGTGCACACACACAAATGGGATCTCCAAGGAAGGGGACGCAGACTCAAATGCCCACAGCCCCAGTGGGAAACAGGAATCAGAGACATGGCTGGGGGGGGAGCGGGGTGGTGCCCACAGCCCACCCCCCCGAGGAAACAAGGCCTCAGAGTCACCAGAGCTTCTCATTTTTTGAGAGAACCAGAAATCTGAGATACGTGAGCGATTTCCTGGTTTTTAAGGACTGGCCATCAATGCCTTCCTCCTTGGGAACGTGTATGGATCAAACACAACACCCCTATGGACTGAACCCAGCCCAGAGCCACCAGCCTGCCACCTCCACTCATAGGCAAGAGACGCATTTTAGCTCCAGGAACATCAGGGCCTCGACCGTCCGCACCCGATGTGTTTTGCTGGAACTAAGTGTGAATCGGCCAGGCACGGCCATACATGTGGGCGCCACTGGAACCGCGCTGGCCGCTTCCCCCGAAGTGGCCCTGGGGCGGCCACACGCACCTCCTGCCAGTACACTCTTTCAAAGCCAGTCCCGCGTGGGCCCTAGGGAAGGGCCTCTTCTCTCTCACAAGCTCGCCCCAGGGAGCTCCCTGATCCATGTGCCTCCGACCTGGCCTTCTTCCTGGGCCTCCAATTTCAACTGTCCTCCGCCAACCCTAACCAGACAGGCCCTGAGCAGCCAGCAAGCGACCCTCTACCACCCCATGGAACCCACACTGTCTCCGTCCTCCGTGGAGCAGAGAGGACCGGACACAGCACGAACTGATGCTTGCCTTTTCGTGTCCCCAAAGAAACGGTGGGTGGACCCCCAGAGGAAGGCAGTAGGTGTGACCCCTCCCGCAGCCCCCTCCCCCCACCCCCAGCCAGGCGCTGCTGAGTAAGTACACTGCCAAGCACCAGGACAGACTCCGAAAGTTCTCCCCCAGAGACCCACAATGACTCTTTACCGGGTATCGGCCCCTACGACTTGCCAGGGACTCACTTGCTCACAGGAGCCGCTGCTTTCCCCAAAGCCCCTTCCCCTGAATGAAACCCTCTGCGGGTGACTTGCTGTTTAGAAGCCTCCTCCAAATGCAAAGAGAAGCGCCCCTGTAATGACCAGCAGGAAGACGTAGCCCTCATTCCAGGGGTGCCCTCCTCGTCCCTGACGGCTGTGAGTCACGGCCAAAAGCCACGCGCCCCGGGCTTCTTGCTACCTCCACACAAGGTGCCAACCTCAGAACTTTCTTGCCTGGCCGCCTCTCGCCCAGTGCCTTTTCCTCCTGGGTTTCCCATGGCCCCGGGCCAGCCCCTTCCTCTCTGCCCTGTCCCCCACCTCCACTCCGCCTGGGGGGCCCTCCCCGGGGCTAGCACAAGCCCTGCCCCCCTCCAGGGCCTCCCCCATTCCCTCGCTGCTGCGGCCCCACCTCACCTGTGCCCAGGCCCTCACGCCTGCACATTTCAGGGGCCCTGGGAGTCAGGCGTTCGGCTGGGTCCGGCTCTCCCCGCCTCTGACAGGCGTCGCTAAAGAAGGCGCATACTGGGTGCTGCATCTGAGGCAAACCCTAGCGCAAGGAGGTGCCTAGAGAAGGCTAAGGGTCATCTATGCTGAAAGGGACTGGCCTCAGCCCCCCGCCCCTGCCCCGAGTAACCCGTCCCCTCTGCGAGGTCTGAGCCGTGGAAGGTGGTTCACGGGCTGACAGGGCCTTTCAGCTTGCTTTTTACTTTCCCTCCACTCGCTCGTCTTTGACAGCGAGCGTGTCCTTCTAATCAAAGGAGAGCCCGTTGTTTATTTATTTAAAATGAATCATCCAACTTGCCCAACGGCACCCTTCTGAGACGCTCTCCGCAGGGGTTCCTGACAAACGCTGCACAAATGACCCCAAGATATTTCTGGAATGGCACGTGTGCCGAGAAGCAGCTCGCAGCCACTGGGCATGGCCCTGACGAGAAGCTGAGAAAAACACCCAAGAAACAGCCCCATGGAACCGAGGGCCCTGCCCCTGAGGAAGGCGGCCAGGCCGGCACTGGATGGCCAGCTGCCCTCTCTCTGGGTGGCCCGGGCAACCTCACCGAGAGGCCCCGAGCCTGTGAAACCAGGATCGAGTCCTCTCCCACCGAGAACCTGCAAGGATTTACTGAGCAACACTTGTAAGGTGCTCAACACGGAGCCGGATATACAGAAAACCCTCAATAAAGGCTACGGAAATTTCCTTCCTGTGCTTAAACCGCAGCCTGCAAGTCCCCCCGCTTTCTGAGTCCACTCCCCAGGCCCCGTGCAGAAGAGTCTGTGGGCTCAGCCTGGGAAGCACCCACAACTTCCCAAATCAATGCAACCTGCCCCTGCGCCCCTAAGAGCCTTGCCTTGCACCACTCGGCCGCCAAGCTAGGCTGGCGCCCAGGCTCTATGACAAGCAACGGTGCCCCCTCCCCCTGCACAGGAGCCCTGGCCTGCCCGCCCACCTCACTCGGGACCCAGGGATTCGCCCTGCAGGGTGTCGCTGGCCTGAGGCGCTCCGGGCCACCCTACCCCCCCCCCCCCAGGCACAGCCATAACGGAGTCTTTGGGGACTCTGATCCCCAGCCCGGCAGTGGGAAGGCAGCTCTCCGAAATTTCTAGGAAACACACAAAGAGATGAGGTTATCATCGCCCCCGAAGCCGCGGGCTCCCTCCGGGCCCTGCCTCCAGGGCTCAGCGCAACGCCAGCGGCGAAGGCGAGCGAGCCCCGGGGGCGCCCGGACACGTCCTACCCTGCTTCCTCCGAAGCCGGCGAAGCGGCTCCTTCGGGTTCAACGTACACTCGGGGCTCGGCAGCAGTGACACCTCCCGGGGCTCGGCTCCGCCCGCTCCGCTGCCCGCGCCCGGGGGCCCGAACCCCGCCGGCCCCGCCGCCCCGGGAGCGCCAGCAGGCCGGGGCGCGCCGAGCCGGCCCCCGCGCGGCGGCGGGGGCCCCGGGCCTGGGCGGCGGCTCGCCGCGGCCCCCGCAGGCCCGCCCCGCCCGCCCGGCCGCCGCGCTCACCTGCTTTCTCGAGCTTGCCGGACATTTCCGGGCTGCGCCGGAGGCCGAGGCCGCCGCTCATGGGGCCCGGGCCGGGCCGCTGCGGGGCCTCAGGCCGGCGGGGCCGCCGCTCGCCTCGGCCCTGGCTCGCCGCGCCTCACACCCGCGCCGGCATGGCGGGCTCCGCGGGCCGCGGCCTGTGCGCTCGGCCAGCGGCGCTCCCGCCCGCCCGGGGCCGCCGCCGCCGCCGCTCCCGCCGCCGGCAGCCGCCGCCGCCGCTCCCGCCGCCGCCGCCGCTCCCGCCGCCGCCGCCGCCGCCGCTTCCCGGGGCCCGAGAGCCGGCCGTAGCGCCGCCGCGCCGCCGCCGCCGCCCGCCGCCAGCCTCGGCCGCGGCCAGAGCGCCACCTGCCGGGCGGCCGCCACGCCGCCGAGAGCCCAGCGCCCCCTGCCGGCCCGGAGGCGGCCCGAGCCTCCCGTCTGGGGGGGCAGCGCCCTCTGCCGGCCCGGAGTCTCCACGCCCGCTAGGGCGAGGCGCCGAGCCGCGCCGAGCCTGCACCACCACCACCCCCCGGGCTCCACACCAGAGGCCCGACACGGACCCCCGCCAGCACTCCGCGGCCCCTGCCTCCCTGGCCTCACCTTCTCACCGGAGGCACCAAGGCCCCCTGCCGAGCCAAGTCAGGGCTTGGGACTGACACATTCACCCCCATCATGCAGGACTCGGGGTCCTCTGCGGGCCACAGTGTCCTCACCAGAGGCTGGGAAAGACCCCCCCAACCTCTGCAGGGGCTGGGAGCCTGTCCCGACCCTCCTACCCGAGACACAGCACCTGCTGCTGGCCTGCAGTCTCCAAGCCGGGCGCCCGGACTGACATCCCCAACCCAGAGTTCCACGTCCTCCCTTGCGCCCAGAGCCCAGCATGTCCCCCGGAGACAGGACACGCTGCCCCTCTCCAAACTCTAGCTGCATGTCGGAACCAGTGACTGACCCCACCTGGGGTCAGAGCCCCATGTTAGCCCACGGTCCCTCTGCAAAGGCATGGGACCCATCCCCCACCCCCTCCCAACAGCTGGGTTTCAGCAGCCCCTGCGAGCTCAGTCAGCTGGCCAGGTCTGGGCTTGACCCACTCCAGAGTCGGTGCTCCCTGCCATCACAAGGGGCTCCAGGCTTTGGACAGCCCTGCCCTCCCCAGCCCTCCCCATCTGACACTCAGCACCCTCTGAGGGCAGGAGCCACTTGGCCAGCCTGGCCCCACCCAGAGCTCGGTGTCTCCAAAGTCTCAGACCCTCCATCCATGCCAAGGCTTGGGCCCAACCCATAGGACGATAGGCCCCTGCCTGCCCTACCCATTGGACCCCCAGCTGGGGACTGTTTATGCTTCCGCCAGTCTGGAGCTCAGGTGTGGACCTTTTCTAGCATGGTGGTTTGTTAAGCAAAAGTCATTGATTTAAGAACCAGGGACCCCGCGGGGCGCCTGGGTGGCTCAGTCGGTTGAACGTCCGACCTCGGCTCCGGTCATGATCTCACGGTTCGTGGGTTTGAGCCCTGTGTTGGGCTCTGTGCTGACAGCCTGGAGCCTGTTTCAGATTTTGTGTCCCTCTCTCGCTCTGCTCCTTCCCTGCTCATTCTCCGTCTCTCTCACTCTCTCAAGGATAAATAAACATTAAAACTTTTTGAAAAAAAGAAAAAAGAGTCAGGGACCCTGCTAGGGGCAGCCACTGTGATGGGCGCTGTGTGTGCCATGAAAATGCACATGATCAGTTCTTTCCTCCAAAGGGTTCAGACTTGGAAAGGCAAAGTTAAGTCATATGATGTGAGTATAAATCTTAGTAACAAATTTTCGTAACGCGCGGGATATTCACCTGTCGGAAAATCTCCTCCCTGCTCACTGTTCTTGGCCTGAGGTAGAATACAGGAAAGTAACATAAAACGAGCTTAACTAGTTTTCCCTCCTGTTTCCCTTGATATAGGTAAATTGAGTAATCTGGCGATGAGGACAGGATCTGGGAGAGGTGCAGGGAGAAGGAAGGGGTGGCTGATGTTGTACGAGGTTCCTGTTTCCAGCTGCCTGGATGGATACTCGGATGGGTTCACTGATTCTATAACTGCTGGTAGCCACATTTCCAGAGTTGTCATTTCCGGCTCTCTGGGAGTCAAAGGCAAAGCCGAAGATCGACAAATTCACTTCTCTTTTCCAGCTGCTGAACGGCTGCTTGGACCCAGAGTGGCACTGCTCAGCTCTCTTAGCACCTGCTGGAAAAACTGGTCTCTGGCCCCAGGCCCACCTCCCCAACACTCTCAAAGCGGGCGCCCAGTCCTTCTAGGCTTCTGAGCTGAGGGCCGCCAGTATTTTAGGTCCAGAATCCTTGGCGCAAAGTAGAAAATGAGACTCCATAAATAGTAAGCCCCAGTCAGGGGTTCATGAGAGTAAAACCAGGTATATTTAATAAATCATGACATATCAGATGGCTAGGGCTTTTCGGACAATAGGGTACTTTATGAATGGGCCTTACTTAACAAAGGTTATTCATCAAATGAGCTTGTAGCTATAAAAGAACACACACAGGTTAATGAGGCAAAAGAACTCCTAAAGCAGCTCTGTCCTTCCCACCTCGGGGCCTTGTCTCACGCTGCGCTTTCTGTCTGCCGTGTTCTCTCTCCTCCGGTCCCCGCCTGGCTGCTTCCTGGTCATCTTTCACTGCTCGATCTGTCACTTCTCTGGGCATGGGAGGCCCTTCCTGCCACCCTCAACGGGGCCAGCTCCCTGTACTGGTCGGGATGCTTGACTTCATGGTCAGAAACCCAGCTCAGCTTGGCTAGAGCAAAAGACGGTTTGTTGGACATCGCAGACAGCAACGCAGAGGTACAGCCGGGACCAATATGGCACCTTCTAGGCTCTGAAATCATGGCATGGCCCCTCTGGGTTGGGTCTCTTCTCTGGTGGCCAGGTTGGGCACCAGCGGACTCATTAGCCTCGTCTGGGTCATATGACTCTCCCAGACCAGTGACCCCAGGGGAGGGGGCAGAATATGTAAATGGGCCAGGTCTGCACCAAGTGCAAGAAAGCTCCGAGTGGGTGCTATAGAACTGGCATCCGGGACGGGGGAAGGGTGGGGGTGCCCAAGGCAATACCGGGCGAAGACGCACTGACGAGGCAAAGCCAGGACGTCCGCCTGCCATCTCAATGGCTGAGAGCCTCGTGGGAGTCCGTGTTTCTCCTTCCTAGCACGTGTCTCCCTCTCGCTCCCTGGCTTTGGGTCTGTTTAATGCCTGTCCCCTTCAGGACACTGGGAGCCCACGCAGGCGGGGAGGATTCATTTGTACCCATGGATCTTTTTTTTTTAATGTTTTATTTATTTCTAGGAGAGAGAGAGAGACAGCGTGAGCAGGGGAGGGTCAGAGAGAGAGGGAGTCATAGACTGAAACAGGCTCCAGGCTCTGAGCTGGCAGTCAGCACAGAGCCCGACGCGGGGCTCGAACCCACGAACCGCGAGATCATGACCTAAGTGAAAGTCGGACGCTTAACCGACTAAGCCACCCAGGTGCCCCTGTACCCATGGATTTTAATTGACAGGTGACTCAGTGGTAACAAGGGAGGCCAATGACATTGGAAGAATGTACTACTTGCGTTTCCTGAGGGGAGGAGCACATCACACCTGGTGGGGAGGCTTGAAGAGCACAGGGCGGGGGGAGGGGCCCGGAGCAGAAGCAGCAGAGAGGGGACAGCCTAGGCCAGAGCCTGTATTGGGGCACCTTCAGGAAGGGCAAGGCAGGGCACAGTGAACAGTTTAGGGTTGCCTAGCGGGAATCGTTCCGACCGGCTCTGGGAATGACGGGTGCTCTCCAGGCGCCTGGCCCTGGGATGGTTTAGGGCAGGGGAAATACTGGCTTGGTGTGCGAGAGGTGATGAAAGGTGTGCTTCCTTTCCCATCTCTGAGAATTGGCTAGTCCCAGGAGGGCGGTCTCTCCCAGGCCGGCAGAGTTTTAAGACGTCAAAACACAAGACAGGGGTTCCCCGGGCAGCTCAGTGGGTTGAGCATCTGACTTCGGCTTAAGGCATGATCTCGCGGTTCGTGGGTTCGAGCTCCTCATCGCGCCCTGTGCTGACAGCTGGAGCCTGAAGCCTGCTTCGGATTCTCTCTCTCTCTCTCTCTCAGAAATAAATAAACATTTAAATAAAGCATAAGACAAAGAAAATGGAAAGCATTCTCAGCGCAGGGACCGTATCTGGCTTGTCTACCAGCTCCGGCACATGGAATACTCAGCCCGTTTCTGCAGGAGTGCAGCAGGGCCCTCCCCCCACATTCCCGGAACGACAAGCCCCAACGACCACTGTGTAGCTCTCCACGTCCACGGTGGGAGGGCCAGCCGGGCGGGCGGCCAGGGGGCTGCTCAGAGAGCCCATCCGAGGTGTGGCTCTTTCCCAAAGGGTCACGTTTTCTTCTTGGCAATTGCAGACGACATTCAGCTGTCAGGACGAGAGGCGTCCAGTGAGACTGAGGCGGGGTGAGGCCGGCGGCTCCAGGGCTCAGCTGGGATTGTTGGCCATCGGTTCATAGGTGCCTGCCCCGAACTCCCCAACTGCATCATCAGCTCCCCAAGGACAAAGAGTATGGAATTGCTACGCCTTCAACACACAAAGAGGAGGTGTTGTGCACGGTAGTGGCAGTGATGGGGATAAGGGCTTCCTGTGGCTGGTGTGCACTTAGTAGCTGCCTCGATCCTCACAATGATCCTGGGAGGGTAGGGGTCTCAATCAGTAGTGTTTGGGTCACGTGTTACAGACATCAATTTAAAAATTTAAAATATACATACTCGTATTTGAGAGAGACAGAGTGTGAGCAGGGGTGGAGCAGAGAGAAAGGGAGACCCAGAATCCGAAGCAGGCTCCAGGCTCCTAGCCGTCAGCACAGAGCCCGACGCGGGGCTCGAAGCCACAAACTGCGAGATCATGACCTGAGCCGAAGTCAGCTGCTTAACCCACTGAGCCCCCCAGACGCTCAATCCACATTCTAAACGTGGCATCTCCCAGACTGACCCCAGCAGATCAGACAACAGATTGGCCCCATGTATCTTTGGCCTTTTCTCTCACCAGTGGGGATTCAGGCCAGTTAACCGGCTTCTCGCTCTGAGGGCTCAAAAGCTAGTGTGACACAGGCGCATTTCACTAAGGACACATAAGGTAACCACGGCCCTGAGAACTGGGTTAAAATAGGATGGTGGGGCCCACAGATGAAG